CGCTAATGCGTTTTGAATATAGGAAAACTGAGAAATTTTAATACAAGTGTTCCTTAATTACATAACGTTGATTAAAGTTTATGTAAACTTATACTAAGAGAACACATCCGATATAGTCCGGCATCATAATATGCAATAATATTGAAAATTTATTCGTATACGTTATTTCTATGTAATTTTTTTGAACATTAGGAATCAGGTACAAAATAATGACGAGAGGGACCGAAGTAGGGAACGCGATCGTAATCGGAGATCGGACAGACAAAATCGTATAAATTCTACGAGTCGCGATCGAAGCAGAGAACGAAACGATCGTGGTGGTCGGAAACCTTCAGACCGCCGAATTTATGTATCAAACATTCCCTATGATTTTCGTTGGCAAGATCTTAAAGATTTGTTCAGGACAGAGGTTGGGAAGGTTGCACATGTAGAACTTTTTACTGACGAAAATGACAAACCACGAGGTTGTGGTATTGTCGAATTTGAAGATTCAGACTCTGTTAAAATTGCTGTAGAAAAAATGCACAGATATGATATTAAAGGAAGGAAGCTTGTCGTCAAAGAGGTAGTTAGTATATTATTGTGTTCACAGACACCTTACTACATAGATTGTTGATGTACTCTCTGTTAGGGATACATTTTACAATATTGTCCATTTTAGGACTTCGATGTTGAACGTGATAAATATGGTCGCTTAGCAACAGGTCGAAACAATGACAGAGTTCGTGATGATAGATTTAGAGATCCACCAAGACCACAAGGTGGTGGCCGCCAAAATATGAATCCCCCTGCCGGTGGAGGCGGTGGTGGTGGTGGCGGTGGTGGTGGAGGTGGTGGTGATAATAAATTTGGAAATACTTATGGTTTAAGTACCCAATTTTTAGAATCTTTAGGTATCAATGGACCTTTAGTCACTAGAGTGTTTGTAGCAAATGTAAGTACATCTTACTGTGTTATATGGTCTAATTAACTAACCGTTTGAGTGTCATAGGCCATTGCAAGAATATGCTTCAAAAATAACAAGCAGCAATGCAAATGTGTTTCTTCTGTTTCATATTAAAAAGTATTATGTAATGCAATCACATCGTGTTTTGATACCATTTGTTAATATGATATTGATAGTTTTTCAAATGAGACCAGCATGATCAAACTGCATGGCACTCAAACAGGCAACATAACAGTAGACTAAATGTTCTTTTATATATACTTAGCTTGACTATAAAGTGGATGAAAAGAAACTGTTGGAAGTGTTTAAGTTAGCTGGTAAAGTACTGCATGTTGAGTTAGGAAAAGATAAAGATGGAAAATCTCGAGGATTTGGAGTTGTAGAATATGATCATCCAGTAGAATCTGTTCAGGCTATATCAATGCTTCACAATCAACAACTTTATGATAGACGTATGACTGTCAGACTTGATAGAGCAAATGAACCAGACATGCCACCAAAGTTACCAGAAGGTATGTATAATATTTCTTTATCTTGATTATTTGATAAATAGAAAAAATAAATTTTAATTTGAATGACAGGTTTAAAGGGAATTGGAATGGGACTTGGAGCTGGTGGCAACAGATTAATGGATGTAGCTAGAAACATTCCTAATGTACAAGCAAATAATCCACCTGTTGTAAATCCTATATCTGCCCCTGTGTTGGCTGCTGGAGCATTTGGTGCTGGATTAAATAATGTGGTACCAGCACAATTAGGTATATACTACTATTATGTGTTAATAAAATTGATAAAGAGAGGAAATTAACACAAAACTGTGGATATATTTTCAGCCTCTGCATTGACCAACACAAATGCAGCAGCACTTCAAGCAAGCCTTGCTGGAGGTTTAAGTGCTAATTTGACCACCAATTCGTTACTGAATTCATCTTTAACAAATGAATTGGCATCTAACTTAAATAGTTTCGGCGGTGGAGTCGGAGGTTTGTCTAATTTACAAGCCTCTTTAGCTGGTGGACAAAGCAACAATACATTTGCATCTCGAGGCTTATCTAAAATGGACAATGATGTAGGCTTCGGTGGAAACAATGCTTTCGGTGGTTCTAACTTCGGTGGCGGAAGAGATTTTGATGGTGGATTCAACAGAGGGGACAATGATCGTGTTCCTGGTGGTGGGGGTGGTTTTTCTGGCAATCAGGGCCAAGGGGGAGGAGGTAACAGGCAAAATACGAACGGTTCGCGACCAATGTCGGATACTATTCTTATAGGAAATGTAAGTAGTACAGCTCGCATGTATAAATTGATTTCGATGTCAATATTTTATATATGTATATGTGTGATTACAGTTACCACCAAACACCACATGGCAAATGTTGCGAGACAAATTCCAAGATGTCGGAGAGGTCAAGTTTGCTGAAATGCGGGGTACTGACATGGGAATGGTGCGATTCGCATCTGAGTGGGATGCTGAACGTGCTGTGTGTATCCTTTGAAATGATTAGTATCGTATATTGTTATATACAAATTAACAAGAGGAACGCAAGACTATCGGATCCAAGCTTCGTACAGTTATAGGGGTAAAGTATTAATCGTGCAAAATGGTACACTTTCGGTATAAAAGATATCGTGCGTTCTCCTTGTAGTCGAAGTTGAACACTAGAAAGATTTTCCTTAATAGCGCATATACAGCTATGATGAATCGGTCACGTATCGATGGCAGAACGATCGATGTTCGCCTTTACTAAATGATGGGAAATACACTCAAGGTAACATTAATAGAGAACTTCTGCAGAGTTTGACGCTTAACCATAACTTATTGATGCAGCGAGAGGAGACTGGGTGTTCGTATGTCGTCTGCAGGATTGTTCCACTCCTGATGACAATACTTGAAATTCATCCTAGTTGTGTGGCAGAACTTAGGACAGTGGGTGAGAAGTATCTGTCGTTGGAAGATCAACAATCGTGTTTTATGCCTACAACGTTGAAACACTCATTGGCTGCTGATGATCACCCTTCCTTGCTACAACTGTTTCATTCGAAATTCTTTACCAGATTATCGTTCCTTTTTACAGTGGATGTCTACTAATTGTTCACTCCAAAATCGTTTTCGAGTGATCGATACATAGTTTAGTTGTTAGGATTAGGTTCATAATGTTCAACGTAATCCATAGGTTTTTTTCAGTATGTAGGTTTACGCTATTTACAGTAATTATCAAACGTAGTTTGTAAGTTTATTTCTTAGTTTTCATGACGAGAGATCAATCGGTTCTCATTCCGGTCGAAGCGTGACGCTCTGGTCGTTCGCGGACTGGTTTATCAATCAGGGACAGATTAATCTTTCAAGTATAAATATTAACGCGATATAGCTGTTACGGATTTTACGAGTTAAAAAGTTTATCCATGTATGATAGATACTTTCATGCACAATCCTACACAGATCGTGGACGTGTGTCTTCGGTTCTCTGTGGTATCGGTCGCACTCTGTTCTTGTATCTCAATACATTAGCAAGATACATCATGGCTCAACAGGGGACTATATTGTTTTTCATTGTAGTTCTGCGATCTGACTCGTTTTACTCGTCGCGCCACATCGTTCTAGTAACTTGGAGATTCGAGTAGAGCAAAAATATTTTAGTTGTCATTAGGAAGGTCCCTTCCACGGTCCACCCTCGTTTTTTTGAGACTTCAGCGAACGAACATTGGATGACTTTATACCCTAAATTCGGCAGAATTGTCTTACATATAGTGCATCATAATATGTTTACCAAAAAATATTAAACTTTTAATTAAAAAAATGAGAAAAATAAGAAAAAAATTTTAATATCTTTCAACGTCTAAGGAAACGAACGATCAGGAAGGTTAGTTTTATAAGTTTATTCTTTGGTAAACATATTTCCTCTCGCCATGTAGATCTCGAGGAACATTCTGCGCATTGTATAACACTCTTGTATAACCACGACATCATGACAGTGATTGAATAAAATCCAAATCCGTTTTGACTACAAAAATATGCTGGTCGTTGTGTTTTATTTCTGTGTTGTTGTGAATTCTCTTTATACTTTAAACAGATAAAGCTAGATTACGCATTGTCATACAGGATATCGTTTCTGCAATTTACCGTGTGCAATACATTTACCGTAGAAAGAGCTTCAAATGCATTGCACTCTTTGAACAGAGATTTCTGTTTAAAAATTATTACAGTTGCATCTCTTAATTGTAGAACATCCCTGCTTAATTTTTGAGATTTGAAGATTCCCTGTCTGTGAGATGAATGTTTGCTTACGTCACAGGTGAGATACGTTTTTTCAGGTGATTGTGGTTTTCTATTCCTCCATGATGTACACGTTTCAAGAGGGAAGAAGTTTGTTTGAAATCTGTTACCGAACCTTTGTCTCTTTGGTATAGTAACATCGTTAAAATGATCATCAAATTATGTATTGGTAGTCTTCTTCTCATTGGCGTAACTAGGAATTTTCTCTGTAGTGGGCCAAATCTTCTTTTATAATAGTGTCCCACATCAAGCATAACTTTTGGATAAGTTTGAAAATTTAAAGATTTGCAAATTTTAAAATTTATGGATTAGTTTGGATTTTTGAAAATGTGGGGAGAGTCATGACCATCCTCGCTACCTAATTATGCCAATGCATCTTCTTCAGATTAAGTAACGAAGCTTTATCATCGATTCAAATAGTGGATTAACAGGTTTCTGGGAAAAATAAAAAGTCAGCAATTCGTCTCCTAACAACGTGGTTGATTCTTTACATATCGTAGTATCCAGAGTGTATCTTCCACATTTACTGATAATTGTATCTGGTCTAAAAGTTTGTTGCGCAATTCTATGCGTTCAAATTGAATTTTGCGTAACGTGAGAAACAAATGGTTTGACGGTAACAATGATTATTTTTATGGTAAGTGGTCGTACATTTTTTTTCAATACTCTGGTCGTCATTCGCCGTTGAAACATATTTAATGCGTGTTTTCGCTATGCACATGGAATTTTTTTAATAACCGTTGTCGAACTCCGTTGTGTGGTTGCCACATTTGTTTCTTAACATTTGAAGGATGTTATATCTTTTTTTTTTCTTACAATGCCACTTGGCATGGGTTACTGATAGGGTTCTTATTTTGTAACGCATGAGATCATGTGTCGGATGGTCTGTTGTATTAAATTTCCATTGTAAGTGACTGATCAGTTGTGTTTTGTTGTTTCACGAAAAAAAAACTTGAGTGAAGGCATTTATGTAAAGTAGGGGATGATGACTGCATTTCCTTCTTGATTTTGTCTAAACTATTCACTGTTGGAAATTGCCCCAAAATAAAATATTCGGTTACGCAGGACCAGATTTAAATATATATTTTGACATGTTAATAACTTTTCAATTGCGGCTAATGTTTTGCAGGGAAACGAAGGTAAGTTTTAACGTTTCTATTTCAGATTTTTTTATAAGTATGTTATTCTTCCAGGAGAGCTATCTAACCAGATTACAAGGTTATCGAGTGGTAAGTCCTATGAGGTTGAAATAAATAGTAGGTTGTATTATTAATCACACCTGTATTTCCACAGTCTTTACATTACAAAACAGTTAAATTGGGTGATCCTTAAATGTAAGATACTTTTTTTGCTGAGAATCACAAGTGTCTGTGTAAATCGGTAATAGTGTGTGAATACAATTACTGGAATGAAACGGTGTTGAAAAGTATAAACTTTACAAGTTCGATAGAATTCTGAAATTACGTTCTAGATTGCTATCGTGACAGCAGCCGTGCAATATAGTGTTAAGTGTAATTATTTGTTTATTTTCAAAAAAAGCACCTTACTTGAACACCTCGCATGTGATTCTTCTTAAGTATATATATATAATATATATAATCTTGTATAATACTTACAAACTATATGTATGTTTATCACATTTTTAAATAAAGGTAAGCTTGAAAATCGATGTAAATGAACCGTTTTCAAGAAAACTCGTACACTACATGTAGTGCCGCCGTTAGTGCTGGCAAACCGGGCCCTGGGTAACATCTCAAATGTACAAACTTCGAAAGAGGGCCTGTTATGTTGCCAATTACTATAGCTCCGTCCGTAGCAATATAACGAGAGTCAATTACAATCATTAGTACACATCAGTGACAAGCAGTGTTCAATTGCGACGTCAATTTTTTGACCCAGGTCCCGCAACTCTAACGGCGGCTTTAATCATATATGTAACTTCTAATTTGATCAATTATGAAATTCTTTTAAGTAAATATAACTACAATGATAATCCAACGATATCTATTAAAAACGAAACACACATTCTTAAAATGAAGAGGTTCGTAACATTTGCAAAAACAAAGAAAGAAAATTTCTTATAATAACTTCCATTATTCTTCGTTTTTATCACAAAAAGGTGTGTTTTGTATTTTATTGAAATAGTTTTATGCTATTATCGACAGAAGTGTATTACATGATCTTATCTTTCTTTTTTTATTTTTTTTTTAATACAGCATCAAAGATAAAATCATTTCTTCTATGATTATACAATCTTTCAATTTAGCATACATCCCTGTTATGACTAAATATTATTAAAGTGTATCATGGCTTATATGGGGATTATGTATAAGGGGATAGACTGTCAGCCAAGTATACAGTAATAAAATCACATTGACAGTATCTGTAAGCCATCGTAAACATTGCAAGTAATAAGTATTCTTTTCCTTTTTCGCATGCCTCGTCGTTTGACGTTAGTATCAAATATTTGTTCTTTTTTTCTTTTTTTTATAAAATCACAATAACGAAATACACTGCTATATCAACTTTGAAATTTATTGGACTGTAGTGCAGTTTCACTATATCGTCCCCTAATGTCTTTCTGATCGAATACGATCGCAAATCCCGTGTTGAATACTCGGCTTATAAAACTCAACCTAGGGCCATATAGCGAGACTTTACCATACTTCTCAATTAAATCTCAATTTTCTCCAGCCTTTCTGAATCGTTAAAATAGTTTCGTACTGTGTGTACGATTTAAAAATGTTACAACCCAGATCTATTTAGATATCTTCGCGAGAATATTCTATTTTTACGTTATGTATCACTTGTACAATGGCAATTCTCAAAAAGTAGATTCTCGTATTCTGCCATAGAAACACATTCTGGTACTAGTATAGTCGTACGAAAAAAACAAAACGTCGACTTCTCGTCCGATTAATAAATAAATATGTCTTGCGGTATCTTACACGATAGAGCTTTATCTTTAGCAATCGGTACACCACTAATGCATTTGAACAAAAGCTTTAAGATGTTTCGGTACATGTTCCAAGGTGTATGCTTTTTTGACTACTCTGGCCGCCAAACACATGAGTGTGGTGTACTTTACAGGATGTACCGAGTCGTACAGTCGTTTATCGCGCAATAACATCTCGTAGGTTTTACCCTCATTGTTAACGGTGTCGATGTGAGCACCAGCTTCGAGAAGAGTAATGGCAAGATCTGGCCGCGTGGAGTGCGAAATAGCGGCAAGATGCAACGCTGTATTTCCGTCATTGTCTCTTGCCGTGACATCAGCGCCAACTTTAATAAGAGTCTTCGCTAAATTCGACGAGGGAAACTTAGAATTTGAATAGCTTCCAACTACAGCGCCCTTTTCGCTGTAAATTAATTGCAACACGTCGCGACCCTGAAATGGAATTACAAACAAAAAAAATTAAGATATCGTCGAATACAGTTTTCAAACCAGGTATAACCAAGCTGGTGACCCATTCTCAGATTTACAACTTTCTAAAATTGGTTGGCTGGTGACATAACGTGAGTCGACTGTATAGTAAGTACAAGTTGCATTGTACGATTACGGACTAACCGGTGAATCACTTGGTCATTCCTGATTTAAACCATCGTCGTTTTCGAATGAACTCACATGTTTGCCTTTGGCATTTATCCGAACTAGCTCATAAATCGCGTTGTGCAGCGTGTTATATTCTTCCGTGCCTTTTTCTGGAATTTCACGTGTCAGTAAACACGCCAAGTGCAAAGTAATCACGAACACTCTGTTCAAATAAGTTAGGTCTCGTCTCCAGGCTGGAATTTTGTCCAACATTTGTTTTCCTAATTTTACTTCTAAGACCTAAAACAACCCGCCAATTCTTGTACATTTATGAACCAGACAGTCAAGAATTGTTTTCACGGTGAGATCAGGAACTTACGGCTTTCTTGAACACTTTCAGAAGTTCTTTCTTTTGATCCGGTGGTACCTTCCGGCCTGTACTTGTTTGCGTTCCTATCATAAAGCTGAACAACTCCGTAAAACTGAACAGTGAACTCTGAGTCATCGGATCGAGTGGCTCCAGCATGCTCTGCTGCATATCCAAGGCATAATTCCAGAGTTTGATACAACGATCAAACTTTCCACCATCCGCGTACAGTGCTCCTCTGTAACGGATGTAGTAACTGGTATCGGGATGAGCAGGTCCTAGTATTCTTTCTCTGATCACCAATGCCTGCATTCGCATTTCATCCGGATCGGTTGATAAGTCGTCCAATGCATCCGGGTCAGAGATCTCTTTCGCGAAGTCGTAAGCAGCTACAACAGGGGGTGGCGATGGTTTCGCTATCACTGGACTGTCGCTTCGATATCTGAAACATGGTTACCAATTTAATTTTAAGGATTCAGTGATAGGATCAAGTGCCTTGCAGCGATGAGATGAAACTTATACAAATTTTTAAATTAAGGAACCGGTCAGAACATTCCAGATGAAGACTGATCTAAACAAACCTCTCGTCCATTGCACGTTTCCAGAATTCAAGGGCCCCTATCATGTCCCTCTCTTTATCCACGTACGTCGCGCCCAACAACTCCAAAGCGTCTATCCGTTCCTTCCGACTGACTAAACGCTCCATACTGATGAAGTATTCCACGATGTGTTTATGTCCTGTAAGACAAAAAGTTGTCCCGTGATAATTTATTTTCCGCGAGAGTGTTACCTCGTTCAGATAACGAAACACTCTGATAAGCATTAATTGTAATCGTCTTAAGGGAACCTTCAGGGTTGTGCGTGGAAGATTCTGCTTTAACCTGTTACTGCTGCCACAAGGAGCGGTGTCATCCCGTAGGAGTCCACATCCATCCGGGCACCGTGCTCGATTAGCACCTTGACGATTTCCAGGGATCCACTTTCCGCGCAGTCGTGAAGTGCCGTGTAACCCCTGACTGATTTTCGGTTCACGTCTGCTTTCAACGCGAGTAGGAACTTGACGATTTTTATGTGACCTTTGTAACAGGCGATCATCAGATTGGTGTGACCCTGACGGTTAGCCAACTCGATGTCTGCAAATGAACAACGTGGGTGTTTATCGTCCATTTGTTTTGCTCTGCAGATTGATTAATTATTTATTCATCAGATGGGTATAACTGAGAGCATTGTTCTTTCCATAAAAAATTATGTTGCACACTCTCGCTGATAAAGTGATGGATTAAAAATATGGCGGGCATCGAAGAACATATTCTTCGTATGATTCTTTACGCTCCTAGATATTTTCAGATTCTTAGGTCTGTTCGGTCGAACGATGCTCACCTGCACCATGGTTTACTAAAAATCTGACGATTTCAAAATAACCGTCGAAGCAGGCCGCGCGCAGTGGTGTGGAATTCGTTTTAGTCGTCGAGTTCACCTTGGCACCTCTTTTCACCAGTAATCTGACCAGAGCCAAATGGCCAGCAGCTGCAGCACACCATAGAGGAGGTGCACCTTCTATCGTTTCGCCACCGAACACGACTGTTTAACAAATTAATTCCGGATAAAAATTGACTCTTCATAACATTCACAACAATGATCAACTTTCTTCGATTTAAAAGTATAGAAATCATGTATCTTTTTGAGCGATTAGTTTTTACGAAAGTTTGTAAAGTCAGGTTTAAATGAATTTGATAGCACGAATATTTTTCATTTGGCTTGCTAGTAATTGAAAAGACGCTGACGCATCACGACATTCGACGAATAGGATTAAAGGTTTACCTGACCCAGGCTGCTCGATATCCGCTCCACATTCTTTGATGAGGTATTCAGCCACGTCGTAGTGTCCATTTCGACAAGCCATGACTAAAGGTGTTGCGCCATGGGTTTTGGCGCCCACTAATTGTCCTACCTCATCTTTTCCTCTGTGATCCAAAAACACCTGTAACAGAAAATATTATGCAAAATTGAAAAACACTGTTTCAAAAAACAGGAACAAGTTTCTTGTAACCGTATCGGTCATCGTACTCCTCTACCATTCTTCCAATGGTCAAATGTCCGCTCACGCGATATCGCGTAGTCAACAGCTACACGCGCCACATCACGTGGCCAATAGTAAACATTAAATGCACACTCACGTTTAGAGTTTATTGAACTTTATTGTAATAAAAGACAACTATGTTACAATTATTAGAAATATTCGTACAAATTATAGAATAAGTAATGTTTTTACTGACTGCAACCTTGATGTCGAATTAAAAATTTTAAACGCAGAAGCTGAACGCATGTTTCAGGGTTCTTTTAACTTACGTTTGACAGTACGGAACCCGTGATGAATCGTTGAAACGTACTCGCAAACGAAAAAGCCGCCACGTGGTTTTATTTTTCGAACGATACCTGCTAGTTTAAATTCGCAAGGAATTTCAAGCAGACCGCAGTTAGACGAATTGCCGCGAAAGACACTCGACACTGACAGATTCTTCCTTCGGCGTACGATAAGTATGTAAAACACGTTGGGCTTCTCTTTTATGTAGCGACACAGCACTCGAGGCTCGAGCCTCTTTCCAAAACTGCTGTTTCTTCTCTTACGTACTTGCACGCTTTTGTTCGCCTCGTTCTACTCTCTCCCCCACCTCGATTCCCGTTCGTTCACGTACCGTCTTTTAAATGTTAAATTCTTTTAATTAGATTTGTTTACCGTGTTCACTTTCCCTCTTATCGTTTAGTATTTTTGTTAACCCTTTGACGGCAAGTTTCTATTCTAAAATATTATGTACCTTGTTCAAAGATTATATGATTGAAATTGTAATAATTTGGAGATGGTAGTTGTAATTTATATGTATGATGTGATGTGGAATTGAGATAAGTTACAGCTCTGAAATTGTAACTTTGGAGACTAGTACAGTCCTCACTAACTATATTGTTATTTTTAGGGAAGTGAAGGTACGTGTAGAGCAAGAGTGTGAATGAAAATCTTAAAAATTTCCAAATTACTTCCAATTTCTCTAAATTTACAAATCCTCAAACTTCTATATTTTCAACTAACTCTCCAAATCCTCAAATTCCCATATCTTCAAATTGCCAAAATCCGCGAATTCCCAAATCTCGACGTCCTCGAATTCCAACAACTCCCAGCTCTCAAAAATCCCCAAGCTGGCAAAGTCCAAGAATTTCCAAATATCCATGTTTCATATCAGACTCGAAAACGTGACAGGGCCGTCAAAGAGTTAAAATAATTCGATCGAAACTTCTCTCACCTGGCGGACTTGCAGCGCAACAAATTAAGCGACGATTTATCCGTTTCTTTAGAATCTCGTATCGCGAACAAACAATGCGTAACGACACGCAATATTCATCGCAAAATCAAAAACGGGTTATCAAGAGTTCGACAGGCGAGTATGCAAAGCAAACGTGTTAAGCGACAAATTTTCCGTGTGTATATCGATGCATCTTTTGTCGCGTTTTCCGCTTAATAAGCACCGTTCGCGGGAATCACCGGTTACGTCCACGCACGGCAGAATTGTCGATTTCTATTTGCCTTCGTCGAAGCCAACTGAACCACTAGCATTTCATTGGGTCCGCAAGAGAAGAAAGCAAACACTGGCCAAGAACGGTCGAACGAGTATTGTTCTCCAAGACAAACTTCGATACAGTGTACACAGATGTCGGAGAAGTACCCTGCCTTAGACAGCACGTGCTCGTCACGGAAAGACGAGAAACGCAATATTTGCGTCGCGGTCCTATGTCAATTCGCTGGAGGAGCCATAAATCGGGGAAGGCTACGATCGCCTTGGCAGAGTCCCGCGAATCGATCACTGATTCTCTAATTTAATTAACACCCGAATTCGAGGAGTAGCGATTCCGAGAAAACGGGACCTGTGCTCGCTCGCAAAGGTGTATTCTTCGACTGACCGAGGCCCAAAACCCCTAACCGGCGTTCGGCTTCTGGTGAAACCATGCTTCACCACCACCGTGGTCGTTGGGATCCCGTTAAACGAATAATCGGTGACATTGGGCCCACAGCCAGCTATGGTGAATGGACAAAACGTGCGTTGAAAAAGGGGCGGGGAGAACCGTCGCTCGGGTCTCGATTTTCTTTTACATTTTTCCCTGTCGAAGGTTTATCACCCGATAATCCTCTGCTTTCTATGTTCCCCTTCGTGTCAGTTTTCCCTCCAAGCTCTTCTTGCCGCTTCTCTAACGATCATTCTTCTCCTTTTGTAAGGTTGGTACATGCGCGCGAGCTCGAGCAGACAACGTATTCCGTTACTCGACTGACCGATTTTCTTTTTCGTGGGCCCGCTTTTTGGATCCGATCCGGCAACGAATGTAGGTAACTGGAACGAACGACACCGAAACCTTCTCGTTTAACGTCGAACATCGGCCTTGCTTAACGGTGAACAATGTACGTAATTGACGTCCTTCTGCTGGGAAGATGCTATCAATGTCAATACGATCGTTCACAGTTGTTTCACCTTTTCGCTACGGTACATTCTATTAAATACATTCGCATTGGAAAACGAGAATTCTCTTTTGCATTTACTACTGAAAATGTCAATATAATTTATTACAAAAATTGCCGTTTTAATACACATATGTTGAAGCATCATTTATAGGAAAAGTTTGAGAAAAATATCCTGAAGCGAATGTATTAAAAAAACAGCTACCATTAACTGAGTCGTACGCAAATACATCACTACACACTCACAAACGCACATGTGCGAAATGCACACTCACGAGCGAATGAAATAAAGGTAATAAGATAGAATGTAAAGGTAATAATGTGTCTAATACCCTATCGGTTGAGCCAAATAACAACTGTGTTGTACTAGAGAAAATTTATTAAGCGTATATACATTCGTAACATTAATAGACATGCGAGAACGTACATCGTATATAAATGGACATGTGGGAACGTGCATGTAGGCTCCATATTATTCGGCACGCCAGAATAAATACATGAGCCTTTCGTTTACATTAATGGACGTGAGAGGACGTACATATACGCTGTGCCGCATGAATGGTGCATGGAAGCATGTATCGTATTGTGTAAAGTAGTGGACATATAAATACATGTAGGTATGGTTTTTGATATGGGGATGTATGTCGTATATATACGACGAACGTATATATAAAATGGCATATTGTATAATGTCGCATTATATAAAATGGCAAAGGTATGAATACGAATAAATATGTTTTTTGATATGGAGATGGGTGTATGTCGTATATATACGACGAACGTATATGTAAAATGGCATATTGTATAATGTCGCATTATATAAAATGGCAAAGGTATGAATACGTATAGATATGTTTTTTGATATGGAGATGGGTGTATGACGTATATATACAACCGACGTATATATACGTCAGTCGTGTTTTATAAAATAGCAAAGGTATGAATACGTATAGATATGTTTTTTGATCCGAGAATGGGTGTATGATGTCGCATATATACGTCAGACGTATATATACGTCTATCGTATTGTTTAATAGACGTATGTAAATGTAAACGTATGAATATGTATAGATATGTTTTTTCATCTGAAGATGGGTGTATGATGTATATATACGTCAGACGTATATATACGTCATCGTATCAAACAGTAAATGTGAAGTGCATACATATATTTTTGTCTAAAAGTGGATATATGTTAACATGGATATACGTCTATCGCACCAAATGATACGACGTATATATACGTCTTTTAATCTAAGGTACATGACATCGTATATATACGTGCACTGTATCAAACAGTAGACACAGAGATGCATATACAGTAACTTAACAACGCAGTATATATGATGTCGTATATATACGTCTTTCGTATCAAACAGAGTGTGTAAATGTTTCTTAACCTAATTGTGTATGATATTAATATCTATTTTCTAGCAGTAACGCGTCATATACGTCTTGAATGGAGAAAAGGTCAAGGGTGCACAGATTAGCGAAAGCAATTCTTTCGGACAAATAAAGTTTTAACGCCAGTTAGAAGCAAAAAGTACAGTTGCGTAAGGTGTTCGCCTAAAATATCGATTAGCATAGGCTGTTATCTGGTTTGTCCAGCAAAGGCACATGTCACTCGTTCGTTAAACAAAAGCATTGCCTTGAAAAGGAGCTGACTGTCGAGTTCCTGATCTTGGTACTTGTTCAGTCTCAACGGGAGTCCTACTTTTTTGTCCCCTCGATATTTCTATACACGTTCCTTCTGTTCATTGGTATTCCACTTTAGAACCATCATCGTTTAGAGGCTTATAACGCAACGTGTTTTCTGCGCTGAAAACGGGACTGTATTTTGCTTGATTTTCTCATTAATTGTGTTATCGACGAACACAGAAAGAATTTTATGCCTCGCTTTATGATTGCTTTACTGCTTCCCGCCGCGAATCCATTTTCGCGGGGAAATAAGCGCAAAACCTAACAATGGAAATTCTATATGTCATTTCTAAAGTTGTAAGATTGTGCAAAATATGTTGTCACTAAGTCCTCCGAAAATACGACGTAATGACATCCGCGATAGAAACATCGCTAAAAATATTCAAAACTAAATCGTTAAAAATTTTATGAAACATAAACGTTTGCGCCAAAGTGATTCACGAAGTCGACCTAGAACCGTTTATGTTTTGAGAACATAGACACACTTTTGTATTTACGACCGTTGACCTGAAATTTCTCATATATAGTTTACGAGTAGTTATTATTTCAAAGCAGCTCTATAACAGAGCCATCATAATTTACAGCGCATAAATTCTACAGGAAAAGAAACGTTAGATATCTTAGTTGAAACAATGACTTTAAAATGTGTAGATTATCAAGATACTTCAGACAATGCAATTATTGTTTCAAAGAAATACCGCAGTGTATAACCTGAGATACTTTAAGACAAGATTAATGTTTTAAAGAGAGCTTTATATGAGGGGCTCATTAAAATTCAGGAGGACGTTTCGCGCCTAAAATCACGGAACCATAAGTTACTTATGACGGTAACCAAGCAGGAAAAAGATATTTGACGACATTCAAAGTTTGTTTATTTCGAATTAACCGGGCACAAGGTTACTACTCGTACAGATTTCAAAATTGAATATGTAAATTTAGGTTGTTTTGAATTCAGAGAGTAAAGTCAATTGCAATGATTATTGAAGAGTTTCAATTTTAAGAAACAGGGGAATATTGAAGTGTTATTGTTTCTTGGTTCATTATGGTCGGTTCTGAATCAAATGAGATTATGTTGGTCTGGAATAATTATTGCAGTACTGTTGACAATGTGGTGATCCATAAAACACTGTGATGGTCAATTGCAGATTTGCAAATTTTCTAAATTTGTAAATATTCAAAATTTGAGTCTGTGAAAATTTGAAATTTCTGAACTTGAAATTCATAAATTTCTAAAAATCTGAAATTGTAAAATTTGCAGATCTTCAACCACATATCTCAAATCTTAAATTTTCCAAATTTCAAATACTCAGAAATAGAATTATTTTGCATACAAATTTCTAAACCATGAAACAGTAAATAAACGATCAGTACAACACTTTCTAACCCGCACCTTACTCCACAAATTATCGATGCAGTATGTAGGTTAAAACTTGAATTGTATTCGGTTGAAGCCGGTTTTATTTGCGCAATCTTATATTATTCGAGTTGCGCTAAATTAAAGTGACCCTGAATATCAGTCGGAATTATCATAACTCGAAATCACCTTAATCTTCGTCAGAAGACTAACATACAAATATTTCTTCGTTAAAAAAAAAATTAGTTTCATGAAGATTACATTCTCCGATGGTACGATCGTGATCTAAATTTACATGAGACAATATTTTTGTTTCAACAGGTGCAAAATATAAGCTGCTTCTCGTGACTCTCTCAAGAATAATAAGACGCTTTGAAAATTTATGCGTGCGAATCAAGATACGCGACTTGTGAATAAAACAGCGGGAATGTGGACAGTAGCGGTTTCAAACAACGGGAAAAAATGGTATGGTGAATGATGTGGAATGACGCTTTGAGTGACGTGGAGATATGTTTTGGAGGGAATTTGGGAAGTGGAAATTTTGGAGTGGGGGATTTGGGGGTGTGGGAATTTGGGGGTGTGGGAATTTGGGGGAGTGGGAATTTGGGGGAGTGAGAAATTGGGGCAGTGAAAATTTGGGGGAGTGAGAATTTGGGAGATTGAGAATTTGGGTGCTTGAGAATTTGGAAGCTTGGGAATTTGGGTGCTTGAGAATTTAGATGCTTGAGAATTTGGGTGCTTGAGAATTTGGGAGCTTGAGAATTTGGAAGCTTGGGAATTTGGGAGCTTGAGACTTTGGGTGCTTGAGAATTTAGGTGCTTGAGAATTTGGGTGCTTGAGAATTTGGGAGCTTGAGAATTTGGAAGCTTGGGAATTTGGGAGCTTGAGACTTTGGGTGCTTGAGAATTTAGGTGCTTGAGAATTTGGGTGCTTGAGAATTTGGGAGCTTGAGAATTTGGAAGCTTGGGAATTTGGGAGCTTGAGACTTTGGGTGCTTGAGAATTTAGGTGCTTGAGAATTTGGGTGCTTGAGAATTTGGGAGCTTGAGAATTTGGAAGCTTGGGAATTTGGGAGCTTGAGACTTTGGGTGCTTGAGAATTTAGGTGCTTGAGAATTTGGGTGCTTGAGAATTTGGGAGCTTGAGAATTTGGAAGCTTGGGAATTTGGGAGCTTGAGACTTTGGGTGCTTGAGAATTTAGGTGCTTGAGAATTTGG